TACCGAAGTCGTTTTATGCTGAAGAGGCTTCGTTAGCGTGTTTTCTAATTAACATGTATCCGTCCATGACCATGATCAACAAAAAAACTCTACAAGAGGTATGATCTGGTAAACATGCATACTATTATGATTTAAAGATATTTTGTTGTCATGTGTATGCTCATGTAAACAATGATAAATTAGAGCCTAAACCTATAAAGTTTATATTCATAAGATATAAATAAGGAGTAAAATGTTATAAGTAATGGTGTCCCGCCTGCCACTATTTACGTGTCTATTGTGGCGTGTGTATGAAAAATGCCACTATTGTACAAGTCTATCGCGACATTCCGTTAAAAACGCCACTAAAGTATGCATTTATCATGGCGTTTGTTACACAAACACCACTATATATCGGGCTATAGCGGCGTTTTTTACATAAACGCCACTAAAGTACGTGTTTGTAGCGGCGTTTTCACAAAAACGCTGCTATAAAGTATGCGTTTATAGCGGCGTTTTTACAAAAATGCCTCTATATATCTGGCTATCGCGACTTTTTTACTTAAATGCCACTATATATTAGGATATCGTGGAGTTTGTCTAAAAACGCCTCTATATGTTAAATATTAACTACATTTTCTCTAAAAATGCCACTAAAACCGTCGCTACAAATATATTTTGTTGTAGTGCTCTCAAGAAATTGAAAGCCTTCCTTTCACCCAAATTAAAAATTAAATACATGTTTAGAATCCTCGTAACATAAACTTTTCATTGTCAGTGTCAATTTCAAGTTTCGAGTAAGATTGATTCCAAGTTTCAATATTCATACCGGAACATCAAAAATGCATCCCTACCCCAACTTAAAATTTTAATACAAGTATGCGAACATGCGAAGATCTTTTGTAACACAAGCATCAACGCATATCCTACCACTTAATAGAGTAAGCATTCCAAACACCTCTGAAGGCTCGATAGATTCAGAAACGCCTCTCATTCCCATAGCATGGAGCTACCTCAAAATAATGCTAAACTACCATCGCTATGGTATGCCTTCGACTAACCATAAAAATATCGAGATACTTTTGTACCTACAAGGTTGTGAGTTACTTTCAGGGACCAACTAGACCCATTTAAGGGAGGTGAGTTACCTTTTCCTCGGCAAGTCGTTTGAAGAATGTTCAACCCTAGCTATTGATATGAAAATTGCCACTAGCACCAATACTCAACTAAAATAATTAAAGTGTCCCTGCTACCCTCCAGAACGGCGAGATACACATACTTCTTTATCGAAGTTAAGACACCCCCCACTTCCCCAAAATTATTCACTAACACTAATGGTAAGAAACGAGTGTATTGACTCATCTAAGGTCACTATCATCTACTCAAGAAAGAGCGTTAAAACTACCTTTATCGAACACATAGAAAACCCCATCAACCAATGGTCGTTCGTACTCTGGCCGTGACTCTCTGCCCAAGTCAAAAAAGGTAAACCTCCAACAGTCGACGCAACCTATTCATTCCCAATCAGGAAATACCTAACAAAACCAAGAAATATCTTTGAATTTTATACTATATAAATATCAGGTCAAGCTATTTTATGCATTCCCCTCGACCAAGGGGGAAACTTGTTATACCTTCGGAGATAACATCAGGAAACCACCAAGCCTTCACGAAACCAGATTCGCTGAAGCTGCTAGCACTTCATCAGCTAAGGACTCCAAACTAGGGTTGTAAATAAGACAAGACAGATAGTGACATACTCAAGATTGACTCGTTAAAAGCTCGATAAATACTCGACTCGAATGGACTTGACTCGATTTCTTAACGAGTCGAAACGAGCTACTTGATACTCAACTCGAAAAGCTCACGAGCAACTCGAAAAAAATAATATATTAAAATTTAATTTTTTAAAAAATTAAATTATTAATAATATTAACATTTATGTGTTGATTTTTTTTTAAAAAAATCTAGTATAAAGTTTTCACGTACTTAAGGTTTAGGTTCGAGTTTGAGCTTCAACATAGTTAAGTTTAAAATATTTTTTTATTTCAAGTTTTTACGAGCACCAATTCATGGTTTTGAATTCGATTCGAGCTTGAAAATTTTAGGCTCGCAAGTTTTCAAGTCAAGTTGAGCTCCATTTAGAATTTTAATGTCAAGTCGAGTTCAACAATACTAGAGCTCAACTCGACTCGTTTACAGCCCTACTCCAAACATAGCCTTTACCTACCAGAACCTCCAACAAGCATACATCCTCAAGATACATGCTTCATAGTCAAATACGATAGATAGACGAGATCTCTGACAGGTCTATTTGGCTTATCAAAACATAATCCAAGGTTTGACAACTAGATTTGACTAGCCTATTAGTTTACAAATAGCCACAATGACCCTAGGGCTGACACAGATCACAAAAAATCATTATAAATTCCCCCAACTAAAGATTAAAAAAGGGTTGGAACTTTCCATAGTCTACACCCTACCTTCATCTTCTCCATTATTACCAACTTTTTCTCATAGAAAATCACTTCCAATGTTTGTTCTCTCGTTGGTCGTGGATCTCTGTCCAAACTAGAAGGGATGAATCGCCAATGGTCGACGAGATAAACTTATTCCCATCAATACACATCAAGTTTTTTTAATATATAATTGGAGAGAAGATAGGACCTAAACCCTTGATAAGAAGTACCAATATCACTTAATCATTAAAATAGTAGAAATATCAACACACAAAACCCTCCATTTTGAGCTTAAAACAAATGTATCAAAGTGTCCGAGACGATTCAAAGCCCATTTCTGTATACTAGCTAACAACCTCGTCCACTAACCCCTCAATATCCTAAGCCTTATTGAACAAACGGCATTTTGATCCTTGAGCTTGCCGCAATTAGTTACCCCTTCATTATCTCCCGTACTCCACCTAGTACATATGTGACCCTCAATCTATCCATGTTGAAATTTGCAGCCTTCATGATCACATATTCAATATATTGATCAAAATCATGTACCACGTACATTGAACATTAGTAGATATATTGTTCAAAGTTACATCTTTAATATTCAAAGTGTGATTAAAGTATATATATTGATCAAATTATGTATCATAATGATCAATGTATGATTAATGTTAATCTCCTTATGATAATTTTATCACATAAAATTTAATTCATATACTAGTACAATTGATGTACCGGAGGAGGAAGTATAGGTTATTTACACTGACACTATAATGAGTTGTGTCTTATAGAAATACCATATAAAGAGACTCTGATCTCTCTCCGCTTAACCAAGTTTGTGCTGTATAAAATACCAAATTCCTGTCTTTGATATTAACATTCCTATAATTGAGTTTTTACAAGATCTATTATATATCACAGTACAAGTTTCGAGACTCAAGAAGTGTCAATGTATGTCATATTTGATTCATAAAAATATGTTTAGGTTAATCGTCCTAGAACTCGAAGTCTGTTGACCGTTTTGACTAACAGAACCGTTAGTCTTATGCGTTTGTGGATTAAGAGATTCAATCAAAAAATTTACTAAACACAACGGTTAGAAAAAATTCCCAAAATTTTATTATTTATTTAACTGAGATTAAGGGATTATGTTAAAATTTTAGGGATTTTTTCTAGCGGTTGTGTTTAGTAAATATTTTAAATATTTTATGATTTATTTTTTTAATAAATGCCACATCATCGTCAAGCTACATTAGTAATATTAGCCAACATGGAAATTGTTGGCGTCCACAGATGCAGAAGACTAACGGTTATGTTAGTCAAAACGGACATTGTGGGCTAGGATGTTGCCCCTAAATAACTTCGAGTGTTAAATTGATGCGAAAATACCATATGGATGGAAATATTAAATTGAGTCTACTACATAGGTAAAAATATCCCTTAAACCTTTATTTGATAAAGTTATTATGCTTTATAGTTCACAAAATTAGTCAAAAATCCTTAATTTTATAATATTTAGTTCATGCATGTTCCAAGAGTAGTTGGGTCAAATGGGATTCATAGAAGAAATACTTTGATGGGGAAGAGTAAAAAAAGTGGCTTTAAAGTGGCTTTAAAAGGTTCATAAGCTCTTATCATAGATGTTGGAGAACCCACATGGCCACATTGCCAATGGTTAAGGTCCATCTCAAGCTGTCCTCCTTTTGCACCCCTTCAACCTCTTGTATGCACTGCATCTACCCTTTTCCTTTTTACATTGCACTATTAAACAAAATATAACTAGCAATAAACAACTAAAATTTGTTCCCCTCCTCCAATCATCCACTTCATGAATTGGCAACATCCATTAGATTTCATGTATCCTTCTGTTGTGGGATCCAGTTATTTTGATTCATGTGTATTCGACAAATTGGCTATTGTTTCTATTGGCCCTGTAATTACAAGAGTTTGTTCCCTCTCCAATAGTAACCTCTATTTGCATCAAGCACTTTGTAGGATTTTTTTTTTAAAAAAAAAAATCTTGTTTTTAAAGGAATAATATTTGCATTTAAATATATGTACTTTGGGTTCAAACCAGAAGATTTCAGAAGCATTGTGGGGTTGAAGAACGAGTCGAGGTGAAATTCCAGCAATAAAAAATAAAGGCAATCAACATGAGATGCTTGTTTCTTATACATTAAAAATGAAGGTAGAACTACAGCTCAAGTGTTTATAGTTTGAAAAAAAAGCTTTGATTGAATCAATATGAGATGCATGAAAACTCAGGTCTGCTTCATTTGTCGGGTTTTTTTTGGTAATCAATTAACAATGGGATTTTACTAATTTTGTCATTAAACTTTTGTCTTAAATGGAAGTGAAGTCTATTCTGAAGGAACTGATTTGGATTATTTAACTTAAGTCCTTATTCATGTTAAGTTTATTGTCTCCAAGTCCAAATTTCTTTTGGCTCTTTATATATGCTGTCATTAACGTTGATCATCAATCAATTAAACTTTTGCACGATGTGGCTCCACTGAGAAAAACTGTCGAATTTAGCAGTCATGTTTCCATGTTTTTGAGCTTAAATCAAAGGAAATTGACCAGAGAGAGACTTGAAGAAGAAGAAAATGTAAACAAATAGTGCAGGAAAGGAATTTGATTAATGCTATGTGACTGCCAAAAAATTATAGGTATAAAGATTTCACTCATGCTAGTGAGGAACATTTCTCTCATCAATCTTTCCAACTCTTCTGTTTCCTGTGCCTTTTCCCTCTGAAATTATGTGATTGATACATTTCAGAACCATAATATTGAAAGTAATAATCTTTTATAAAAACAAAGCACCTGCATTCTTTCCATGGCATCTGACTCAGAGTTGAAGTCATAGTATGTGCTTGCTGCTGTCAGCTTCATCGAAAGAAACTGTAACATTTAGCAAACCTTGTTAGGTTAGTGAATCTTATAGATTCATGCATACATATATACATATTGTTTATTGATTTGAATCTTTGTTTCAGATCACCTCAATCTGATTCTGCAAGGACTGGACATAATTGATTATCACATCTAACGTTACTACCATCCCCATGGTCTGTAGATTGTTGAACACAGTGAAAATTGTATTGTTTTGGCCCTGGAAAAAGTTCATTGTTCTTGAAGGAAGAAAAGTGTTAAATTACCTTACAGCACCCTGGAACAATATCCTGCAAGCTTCTTAGTCTCTCATTTATTTTCCCTCTTCTAACCTGATGATTGACACAAAATTAATGCATTATTTAAAAAATGAACCAATGTCAATTTCTTGAGAAATGAAATGAGTTATAATAAATATGTACCCTTTCTGTCAAACTGTGACTATCCGTAGCTTGACCTCTTTTGGCTCTAACATGAACTACTTCTTTTGGTTTCTCCACTTCCTTCTCAATACCTTTTGCTCTTTTCCCTTTACTCAAATTCTGCACAACAATCGAATCAAATCAAATTAGCTTGTGGGGTTAATGGATGCTAAAAATGAAAATACCAGTGCTTTGAACATAACATATGTGTACAGTGTACTTACATTTTTTCTCTTGTTTTCGCTTTGAGAAATCTGAGGAGATGATGAGTAATTCCCAGAACATCCTTTAAATACATCCGATACTTTTCTCTTATTGCTTTCATGGAACTCGGTTTTAGCAGTGACAATGGGCTGAACAACTGAGACTGAACTCTGCAAGTTTCCTCCTGGAATTGCCTGTGCTTGATTGCTGAAGATGTTGTCCGGCAAGAAGCTTTGGTAATTCAGGAGTGAATTATCCATGAGACGTGGGTTTAGCTCTGTGAATTGGCTGAGTGATTCCATGGGAGGATCAAAATCCAAGAAAGAAAATGAATGTTTAAAACTATGCAAGTCTGATGTGAAACCGGCCATTAGAAATTATGGGGTATAGTTCTTTGTTTTTTTGTTTTTAAATGGGTGGGCTGGATAATGAGGAATGGGACTAGTATTTATAGTGTGGAGTCCAAAATCAATATGCACATATGTAAAAGGTTGTTTAGATTTTTTTAGTTAATTGCATCATGTGTTCTCAAAGTATGACCCTCATTTTAAATTGATCCTTAAAATTTTAAATATTCCAAATTCATCCCTAAACTATGATTATCATTCCAAATTAGTCCTTAAATTTTTTGAATATTTCCATTTCAACCCAAACTATACGTATATACTAATCACATCCCTTGTAAATAAAATTGTTAGGCCAAGTTATACTACTATATGTTCAAAATAACAAAATTTAAGTTAAACTATGGTTGAAATTAATTACATATTTGGATGAATTTGGGGATAAAATTGGAATATTCAAAAGTTTTAGGACTAATATAGAAAGAGGGTCATAGCCTAGGGATGAAATTAGAATATTTAAAAGTTTAAGGACTAATTTAGAATGAGAGTCATAATTTGGGAATGAAATTATAATATTCTAAAGCTTAACGACCAATTTCAAATGAGAGTTATAGTTTGGCAAAAATTAGAGAAACGTATAAGATTTTATAGTAAGGAGCGAATTTATATATTTTAAAAGAATAAATATATAAAATTTTAAAAAATCAAGAATAAATATATAAAATTGTAAAAAATAAAAAATAAATTATTAATAGAACATGTCTTAAATATATTAAAATATAAAATTTTTATCTGTGGCTCGATCCATTGCTGTTAAAAATGGATGTATTTTGAGGTGACAACGTGGCATTTAAGCTTCAGTGATCTTTCTACCTGTATGGTCCCATGTTGAGGAGCTTTTAGCTAAGATAGAAAACATTTTTCATCTTCTTTAGTATTTGTTATTTTTGTATGTTTTAATTTTTGGAATTAGTGGATGGCTAAAAAATTCTTTTTATAGAAAACAATTATGCCAACAGTAAGCATTCAATAAAAAATAAAAATTAAGAAATAGTGTATTTGATTTTATATTTTCGTTATTTTCTATTATAATAATCAAATTAATTTAGCATAGGATCCATGGAATTATTTGGATGAAAGAATATGGGTGTGTATGAATGTGTTCTTATAATCATTACAATTTTGTTTTGGGGTACTTTGTCACCACCCACATGTCTTTCCATAATCTTTTTGTGTTTTGTGTGTTAGATATATTTGATTTTTTAAAATATAAATAATAATATATATTTTTAAATACTAAGAATTTTAAAAATTATGAATTTCAATACGTTGAAACACATGATATTATTTTGTTTTAAAGATATGAAAGATTATATTTATTTTAGATATTATATAATTTTTTTCAAAAAATCCAAATAATATAAGTTGGAAATGTTGTCTAAGTCATGCATTTAGACATAAAATTGATACATCAAAAGCATTTTGGCTAGTGTACAAAGGTGCTATCCTTTAATCAAACATTCAATACGAAACCAAGTATCCCTAATCCTTATTTTCTCCACTCCAAGAAAAAAATATATAATACATGTAATGGTAGATAAAGATGGACTCACCAGTCATTCTCTCTGAAAATTTTAAATTATCATATATTTTAAATAATTTTTTATCGATAATTTATTTTCGTCCTTAAAATTTTATAAGTCCTTCTCCTTCTAAAATACTTTTAATTCACAAATTTTCCTATATATTAGCTCCTTTACGATACATGTTACACATTCAAAGCAATTCACATTATCTACATTTAACCAACATACTTCTTAATCCACTAGTTTTCCTATATATTAGTCTATCATGGTCATAACATGCATCCACCATCAAATACTCCACAACATATAATTAGCACATACTTACCAAAATACTAGTTTATTACAACATACACAGAATACACTAATCAAATTTACATATCTTGAACATAGCACACAATATTAACATATTTAAACAAAATATAAACATATCAACATACATTATTATAAAAAAATGGAAATATACAACTACTAAAAAAATGATCAAATATGCATGTCACAGTCCAAGAAGTTCCAAAACAAAATATAAATCTTACTACATTTCTTAACATTTAAATATTATATTATTTTAAACCCATCAAGCAGCTTTAGTGGTTAAAGAAAATATTTTTCTTCTCATGGGCAGACTTTCGTAGGGTCAAGGGAGCTTTGGCCCTGCCACTATTTTTTTAAGTATTACTTAAATTGTATTTATGGAAAATAGAAAATGCTTTAACCTTTATTCTTTCAAGAGATCTTGGGTTCAAGCAGTTATATCTGCATGATGTATGCGTTGTCAATTAATTAAGAAAGTTCTAAGCATATATTATCTTATAATCACACTAAACTATTTTAAAAATATTTTATTATTTTATTATTTGAATATTAATTCAATTAATATTGCTATAATATTTAAAAAAAATTGTAATCGAAAACGTTTAAACATAAATACTTCTAATTTAAAAATCTTTGGTTATGGATAAATTAAATTTTGTAGGTAAACTACATAAATGATCATTGATGTTAGAATAAGTTTCTTTTTTCTCCACTGATATTTCAAAAGTAACAATTTAATCACTAACATTACTGATATATAACAAATCAGTCATTCATCATTACCAGACGTTGCAGCCACGTTAAAAAAAATACTGATATGGCACGTTACAGTCACATTTATCGCACTTTAACTCCATAAAAAAAAAAAGATTTTATTTTTATTAGTCCCCTCCCCTCTCCTTTTTCCAACCTTTCCTTCTCCTCTCTCATTCATCCTCTTCCAAATGGCCACTACAACAATGTGCTTCAATTTGGTGGGTGCATTTAGGGGTCTTTCTTTAGAGCGTGTCGCTTTAAGACTGTGCCCATATCCGAATAAATTTGGGGCAACCAGAGCTGTTTAGACACAACGTTTTGCCCTCCAAAATCAATGCAGGAGATATATCTGCTAATGTTCCCTCGAAAGTGATTCGAGAATGTTTGGCCGAAGACAATGGCAAGAACCATCATGTAAAGGGTAGCTTTGAGTATAGTGTATGTATCAGTTCCAAACATGTTTGCAGGAAGGAACATAAGAGACAATGGCAGCAATGATCAGCAAGGCGTTCGGGAAACCGACTAGTTATTTGGTTTTCTTTTTTCTCTCCAACAATGTTCCGTATGCATGGCAAGTTTGATCGACATAACGACTAAGATCTTCAAAAAGACATTATTACGGTGTATTCGGGTCCGAAAGAAGCTGTTCACATCTTCATTCAATACACTTATTCATGTGAAAGGCACACTGGCACTGTGAGTCATTAGATTAAAAAGCTAACTAGGTTTATTCGGTCCATAACTTACGAGAATTGTTAAAACACATGCCATTGATGGCATGTTGGAGTAAAATTACAGACAAATATAAGTTCAAGGCATCATGTTTCGGAAATCAAGTTGTCGAAGATGAATGCAGACCCTGAAATATGTTTTTTACTTGAATCTAAGTTTGTAGTTTTCTAAAGTTGCAATTTCATTTCCTATGACCAGGGCAACAATATATACATTCTTCGTGAAAATTAATGTTGCTGGCCTGCTGCATAGGGTGCAGCTTTAACATTAATGCTGCAGAATAATTTCTTCACCTTTCAAAAACGACGAGGTGGAGATTGATGATAAAGAAAGACCCCTAAATGCGCCCAGCCAAATTGTAGTTCATTATTGCAGTGGCCATTTGGAAGAGGATGAGGGAGAAAGATGAGAAGGAAAGGATGGAAAAGGAGAGAGGGGATTATAAAATAAATAAATTCTTTTTTTATGAAATTAAAGTGCGATCAACGTGATTGTAACGTGCCATATCAGTATTTTGTTACCCTTAGTAATAACTGTTAACGACAAGTGACGAATTTATTATAAATCAATAACACCAATGACTAAATCATTATTTTAAAAACATCAACGCTATCTTGTTTACTCAATTTTTAAGTTATATTAGGGTCCGAGACGTGTGCGCAAAAGTCCTCATTTATTCTGATGGTTGGAGGATAAAGCATATTCCTTTCATTTAAGAAGATAATTACTTAAATTAAAAGAATAATGTAGACAATATTGATATAATGTTGATTAAAATTTAAAATCCGTAAGATATGGATTGTTAGATGAGATTCAATCTCAACCGTCTATATAATTTGATCTGAATCATTGAATATAGGAGACTAAAACTAAAAATAAAGGTTTATTCCACCTCATTTACTTATTTTAGTTTTTAGGAATACAAAGAACATTCACTCAATTATCTTGCTTTATTTTTGTGAGCTGTTTTTTTCTTAAGTTTTTTGCTTCTGCGTTGTTTGAAGTTTTTAGGCTTGGATTGTTAAGATTGACTTAAACGACTTGCACATAAATACGGCGGAAAACTTGGCTACGTTTACAGTCAAAATTAGCTGCTCTGATGAAATATATATATATATATATATAAGAGACTTTTGTAATACTTATATTCAGCGTAGTAGCTCTATGGAGTAGTGTCTTAATCTAGAACACGGGTAGTAATAACAACCACATGGTACACTACAACTTATTATTTTTTGGAAAGCTAGTAAAGACTTTTGGCGGCATGTCCCTAGATTTGGAGGACATTACTACTTTTAAAACGAAAATTTTAAAATATTTTATAATAAAATAAAATATTAAAATATTAAAATTGACCGTATTACAATTATTTTTATAAAAATAAAAAAAAGTTTAAACATATGAAATAAAAAATTATAAAATAACTCTATAATCAAGATATCTTATTTAAAAGATTATCATCATTCAAACACTCTTATAAATAAATATAATCCTGTAACGTATCTCTTTTTACACTTACCGGTGAACTATCTTCCAATTTGACATCTCTAAATGCCGGCTGCTTTGGCCACCACCCATTTTACCCACGTTTTTCTCTATTGACAAATACTTTGTTCAGTCAATCACGTTTCATGATCTCCATATTACAAGCATCTAATGACCCAACAAAAAGAAAGAAAATAAGGAAAGTGATGGCTGAATCAATCCCATTTATCCTAACACCACAAATGAATTATTCTTTTCCTTCTCGGGTTAATTCTCCTATTTGCAAATACACTTTGATCTATTATAATTATGAATTTGGATTCGATATAATTGGATATACAAAATTTAATTTAATTTGTTATATTTTTTTTGAGTTTCTTCTACAAATAGGATTCCAATTGTCAATTTTTCCTCGATCAAAGTCTTGTAAGAAACTCCTCTACGATCAAGAAGGAACCTCTTAGCTGATCAAAACGTCTTGAGATTCATATTCTCCGATAAGTCATAATTATTTGACATGACTTATAACATGTTCAAGTGATCTGTCAGAGCCAAATTTCTTGATCAAATCTATTTACGCTACTAATTTACGGGTTGTCATAATGATCGAACCCTGGCACCAACAATAGGAATTAGTATATAAGCTTTCATATAAGATCGAGAAGATAGCCTAAATTCTATTCTTTCTCCCTCGGCCTTATGCAGTTAAATTCATCACTCTTCATAAAGTAATTGACCATGATTCTTTGTCTAAATCAAAAAAGATGAACCGTTTAAAACCGTTATAATATATATATTACCATCAATAAATTCAATTATTTATGATGAGATTTTCTAGATGTAGGATTTTGAAATTAAGAGTTTTATCATAAAAATTAAGGAAATAAATTATCAAAAAATTAAAATTAAAATCAAAATTTATATATAGTTTTCAAACCTATCCCTTCCTTTCTCAAGCCTTTTTCACCCATGAAGGGGCAAAGAAAATTCGTTATTCACTTTAGTAATTTCCAATCATCCAACAAGGACTAAATATGATATAAATTTATGCCCTTTTCCATGTAATTTCGTATCCAAATTGGATCTGACAACTGTTTTCTAGCTTTTACAGAATTGGAGTTTGTTGTTTCTCTTATATAGTATATGGTGGCTAAAGAGAGTGTGATTAATTGGTGAGATGGCAAGAAAATGAACACACTGGAGAGTATATAAATCTTGGCCTTGATGTGGCTTATGTAAATCCACTTCCACTTCAAGACTCAAATGTTCTTCAGCAAACACTGTGTTTGAGTTTTTAGTCAAATAGAGGCATGCCATCTTCCACAAAGACTAGTACAAATTCCTGTGAAGTTGCAGATCAACTGAGAAGAGGGCCTTGGACTCTAGAGGAGGACTCTCTCCTAATTCATTACATTGCTCGCCATGGTGAAGGCCACTGGAATTTGCTTGCAAAACGTGCAGGTAACTTGAACCATTATCCACCAATATCATCAAATCGATCATATCATGTTTACTTAAGATAGATTTCATGTTACTCCTTCTGTCGGCTTAGGGTTGAGGAGAACTGGCAAGAGTTGCAGGCTGAGATGGCTGAACTATCTGAAACCAGATGTTAAGCGTGGAAACCTTACACCACATGAACAGTTTTTGATCCTTGAACTCCATTGCAAGTGGGGAAACAGGTAATCCACTTAACATTTACATTTCCAATTGAAAGTACTTTGATTATTTTCTTTGAAGAACCATGTGAAGAAACTGCATCATAGTTTTATAATAGCAACTTGCATGAAATTTTAGGTGGTCCAAGATTGCACAAGAGCTCCCAGGGAGAACGGACAATGAGATAAAGAATTACTGGAGAACCAGTGTGCAAAAGCAAGCACGTCATCTTAAGATCGATGCTAATAGCGCAGCGTTTCGAGACTTAATCCGGTGTTTCTGGATACCAAGATTGCTTCAAAAGATGGAAGGGTCAGCCTTTTTTTCATCAATGAAATCCGAAAATTCGATACTTCCTCAATCACTAGAGCAAACGATGAAACAGCAACAGGTTGCAGGGCAGGGGCGTGGAAGTCTAAGTGAAGCAATACAATGTTTGGAGCAAAATTCAGATTCAGAGCAGTGTGCAAGTCCACGTGTTTCTTCTTCAGAATCCATGAACAATAATATCTCACAAATATCCGTATTCGCAGAATATCAAACAAATCCTTTCGGCGTCACTGGTCACAATGACTACAACACACTTGCAAAGGATTGCTATTATGTTGCTAATAATGTGGATAGCAGTGGTGGATATGACAAGGAAACCATCAACTTGGCATCCCCGTCAGCAGCAGTTAAGGATTTTATGACGGATGGCGACTGCCAATTGGCTGGGAACGATTGGGTTAATGATGGTTTTGCAGATGGGATATGGAGCATGGGGGAACTGTGGGAACCATGGAGCTTCCATTAAAGGGGAACCTTTCATGTTTCTCTTGACAATTCATCAATAATAGTGCATTCATTTGCTTTTAACAGGTTGATTATCTGAGTTTAATTGTATAAGGTTTTTTGTTTTCTTCATCCAATATTTCCCCCCGAAGTTGCAGCACCAGAGGATTCAAAGTTTGTTAAGTTGCGAGTTTAGATATTTTGAAGACGAAAAGTTCCTCTATCTATTTTTGGATGTATGAACTGCTTGCATTGACATTTGACACTGATCAAGAGTTTCCTTTTCTCTTTACCAAGTTCCCCTTAATGCCAGTACTAGGCTACAACTAGCTTCTAAGGTTTTGAATATTTTGGTGAAAGGATCGACTTTCTTCAGAGGTAGCAATCACCTAATTTGGATCATGTTTAGATCGGATAATCACGGGTTGGATTATTTCAAGTTTGGATTGTATTTATTTTAGGTTCGATTTAGACTAGGTCAATATCAGCTCGGTTAATTTTAGATTTTGAGTCGGATCAATATTGAATCGGTTAATTTTCAGGTAAGGTCAATATCATATTAGTTGATTTTCGATTCGGACAACTTTGGATCTTTGAGTCATTTCGGATGGAGTGAGTATAAATATACTCGAGTCTATATAGAATTTTTTTTATATTCTTGTAAAAAAAATAGTATGCCTGTTTGTTTGTCAATTTATCATTTAGAATTAATTTCATTTGAATTCAATCATATTTTTAAGAATGATAATTTGATCCGAACCCGATATTAGAAGACATTTTAAAATTGAAACTTTTTCAACATTGATTCAACTTAAAATGTTTATAGTGGACTATTCGGTGAAAATATAAATTTTTTTATTGTAAATTTAATTATCAATTGAATTTTTTTAGTACAATAATTATATTTTAATGAATATTAATTTAAATAATTTTATAAATAATATTGTAATCTCTATAATATTTTAATTATAAATTATTAATAAAAAATAAATATTTAAAAATAAAGATTGATATAAGATAAAAATGAGTTATTTGTATATTAAATTTAAGTAATTTTATTTTCTCATGTACGAAATAATTAAAATGATTTGAAAATTGATTTAAAAGTTTCGGAAAATTATTTAACTGGTTCCAAAGTGGAATATTAAAGAACTAAATAATAATTTAATTTAAATAGTTTAGAAATTAATTTAATAAGTTTGGATCATTATTTAATAGAGTCCAAAATAAATATCACGTTAATAAATTATTATTTAAATAATTTAGAAATTAATTTAGTATTTCCATATCATTAATTAATAAAGTTCAAATGGGTATTAAATTAATTGTCGAAACGGTATTTTTCTTAAGGAAGCGAGATTTTGAAAACCACACCGTTTTTAATCATCTTCTTTGTGATTGATTTTTAATTAAAAATAAATGTGATTTTAGAAAATCTCTCATTTCGAAAATTTGGAAATTCCTTTACGATAGAAAAAATATGGTTCGAGGAGTCGCCACCAATATTTTAGAAAATCTCTCATTTCGAAAATTTGGAAATTCCTTTACGATAGAAAAAATATGGTTCGAGGAGTCGCCACCAATCTTTGATTAGGGTATGATTGGGCACCATAAAAATATTTTTCATTTTAATAAAATATTAATTTTAATTAAAAAGACAAAATTGGGGTCTGCGTTACCAAAATTTGAGTTTGGGAGTTGATTACGTGTGGAGAAGGACTAGCACCCCCACAACGCCCTAAATCGGTACCTAGTCGATTAATTAATTGTCTTTGCAATAAAATGTACAAGTTCGAGTCTAATATGATTTAAGATCCCCTAAAATAACATTTTTAGATTTTTTTTATGAAATATAATAATATTAATTTTTCCTATCGAGTGGAATCGTTATCGAACATTATTATTTTGAAAACCTTTGAAAACACATGCAAAAGTAAAAAAAAAATATCAAGCAATTGATTAATTAATTATTTTACTAATATTTAATGAGAATAAGGATATTCAATAATTAAATATCAAGAGACGAGACCATAGATTCGATCTAACTGTCTTTTCTCGATGAATATAATTAAAAGAATACGATCTTTTCCTCAATCCCCAAATTTTATAAAATGGATTCGATTTAATTGGTGTCACTTAACGGGATAAACTTTCATTTTAAAATTATCGAAAGTAACTTTCTTATCCGTTAAGACAATCACTTTACAACAATATTAAAATGCTCGAATATTACCCTTAATCCAATTATAATAATGTCGAGTTATGCAAATGAGGCTATCATGCAATCATACATATTTAATTAGTGAAATTATGTACCACTCTACTTATTAAATAAATTAAAAAATGTAAAAGTAAATGTAATTATACATATAATATAATAAAGATATATTAAAATTGATCACGTTTGGGATTGATTGAATATAATATGTACTCCAATAATTTAGAAAAAATAAAAAAATCTACTAATCCATATTGCTAGCATATTTAATAATTTAAATAAAATAAGACATGAACAATATTTATAAATCACTATGGTAGGGCCAACTCCCAAACTAAACACGTAGCCAAGAATAAAACCAAAAGTTCAAATGGAATTCAAAGGTAATTTAAAAGTTATTATTCCACTCACCACAATTGTATTCACCTAAGGCTAAGTACTGTCGTTTTACCCAACTATCTTAAAGCCCAAATTAAAATAAATTTGACCTAAAATCAAAACCACACTCTGTCAAACCTAAACCTTTATCCCCTCTATGCGCCGTTTATACTCTTTCAAACAACATCTCTCTTTATTTTCTTCATTTGTAGTACACAAAACCAGATTCCAGCAGAACCAAAGCCTCCTCAACCTATTTCCCTAAAAGCTACCCAAAATCCGGATTCAAAACCTTAAAGTAGAAAAATATTTACCCTCAGCGACCTATGATACCTAATTGCTGAGAACTACCATGACAACAGCCCCAACGCTCGGTCAAGATAAGTTCTCTTTCTCTCTCGCTCTTACTAATTTTAATTAAAAAAAATTCATTTACTAAGACTAACATCAGGGTTTTTTCTTTGGTGACTGAATCCGAACGGTTATAGCATGAATTTTTCGACTGGAACTCGGACGATTCAGGTAAATCCACCCCAGATCATCTTTGTTTTATTATTATTTTTATATCAACCTACTTATTTTGCTTATGATCGAACATGTAATGATTTCTTTGGGTTAATTACTGGAATATGAAAATAGTTACAAACATAAAGAACATATTTTTTTACTGCTGATTTGGGTTCAAAATAAAAAATAATAAAGCAACATATACTGGAAATTAAAAAAAACGAAACTAGGATTACCTCAAAAATGCTTTTATTGCTTTCGAATAGAGAGATGAAATACTTCCCTGTTTACAGTTTTTTTTTCCAAAGAAAAAAAAATCCCCTCCTTTCTTTTTTATTTTTTTTTGGCGATTCGGATCCCCCCATTTTTATGGTCGAGAGCCCCCTGTTTTTTTATCTTTATTTTCTTCACCAAATTTCTTTGTCGTTGCATGTTGATTTTCTTCATTTTGGTGAGACTTTGATTGGAGCAGGTAAAGTGAAATCCCGAAATTTTCGGGACTAAATTGCTTTCTTTTTCTTCTGACTTTGGTTGATGTTGATGATATTTTGATTTCTTGCTTGCTATTGGGTGCATATTTGGTGGGGAGATTGGCGTACGTTACTGGCTTCACGTGGGAGGCATGAGTGGTGGCAACCTTCTCTCATTTTCTTCTATTCCCCTTTTTTTAATCTCCTCATTTTCAATCTTGCGTGTAGTTGGAGTTGTTGAATTGGGGTAGATGAAATGTTGACAGGACATGGGTCTACTCAATTGGTAGTGCTTCACATAGGGTGCTGCAAAATATGTAATAATAATAAGTAATAATAATAATAATACTTATATTTAGGACGGAAAAAATGAGTGTTAACAGCTGCCCCTCTTTGTTCTAATTTTGTGTCAACAAGAATAGGGCAAACAGGACATGGGTCTACTCAATTGGTAGTGCTCACCTAGGGTGCTGCAAATATGTAATAATAATAAGTAATAATAATAATAATACTTATATTTAGGACGGAAAAAATGAGTGTTAACAGCTGCCCCTCTTTGTTCTAATTTTGTGTCAACAAGAATAGGGCAAAGGCGAAGAGACAATGTATTTTTTCGTCTGATTAACTTCATGGTTTGAAATATGATGAGGGATATGTTCTGCTGTCACTCAGGGAATATCAGATCTGGGGATGTTGATCTATTCCATCTGAAGGGAATATCAAATCTTTGAGAATAGAGACATGTTCCGCTTACTCTGAATGGACTATCAGATCTGGGGAAGTTGATCCATTGAATCGAAGCAGACTTGTTCCACTTACTCTGAAGGGAATATCAAATCTTGGAAAAGAGAGACATGTTCCGCTTACTCTGAAGGGAATATCATATCTGGGGGAGTTAATCCATTGAATCGAAGAAGACTTGTTCCACTTACTCTGAAGGGAATATCAAATCTTAGAAAAAAGAGACATGTTCCGCTTATCTGAAGGGAATATCATGTCTGGGGGAGTTGATCCATTGAATCAGGATAGACTTGTTCCACTTACTCTGAAGGGAATATCAAATCTTAGAAAAAAAGAGACATGTTCCGCTTACTCTGAAGGGAATATCATATCTGGGGGGAGTTAATCCATTGAATCAGGATAGACTTGTTCCACTTACTCTGAAGGGAATATCAAATCTTGGATAAGAGAGACATTTTCCGCTTACTCTGAAGGGAATATCAGATCAGGAGGAATGAATCAATTGAATCGGGATCGAACCTGAAAAGTAAACATTAACCTTTGTTAGTATGTGTTTGATGATTCAAAAACATCATACCTGAAAGACTTGGGATGATAATTTTTGAAAGAGATTTCTCTTGCGGAAGCTTGTCTTGCCACGACCAAACATGGAAATCCATATTGGGTATTTTTATATTAGGTCTTTATATCTCTGTCCTTTCTTTTAAG